AAAACCACATGATTATCTCAATAGATGCAGAAAAGGCCTTTGACAAAATTCAACAGCCCTTCATGCTAAAAACTCTCAATAAATTCGGTATTGATGGAATGTATCTCAAAATAATAAGAGCTATTTATGACAAACCCACAGCCAATATCATACTGAATGGGCAAAAACTGGAAGCATTCCCTTTGAAAACTGGCACAAGACAGGGGTGCCCTCTCTCACCACTCCTATTCAACATAGTGTTGGAAGTTCTGGCTAGGGCAGTCAGGCAAGAGAAAGAAATAAAGGGTATTCAATTAGGAAATGAAGAAGTCAAATTGTCCCTGTTTGCAGATGACATGATTGTATATTTAGAAAACCCCATCGTCTCAGCCCAAAATCTCCTTAAGCTGATAAGAAACTTCAGCAAAGTCTCAGGATACAAAATCAATGTGCGAAAATCACAAGCATTCTTATACACCAGTAACAGACAAACAGAGAATCAAATCGTGAATGAACTCCCATTCACAATAGCTTCAAAGAGAATAAAATACCTAGGATCCAACTTACAAGGATGTAAACAACTTCTTCAAGAAGAACTACAAACCACTGCTCAGTGAAATAAAAGAGGACACAAACAAATGGAAAAACATACCATGCTCATGGATAGGAAGAATCAATATTGTGAAATGACCATACTGCCCAAGGTAATTTATAGATTCAATGCCATCCCCATTAAGCTACCAATGAGTTTCTTCACAGAATTGGGAAAAAACTGCTTTAAAGTTCATATGGAACCAAAAAAGACCCCGTATTGCCAAGAGAATCCTAAGTCAAAAAACAAAGCTGGAGGCATCACGCTACCTGACTTCAAACTATACTACAAGGCTACAGTAACCAAAACAGCATGGTATTGGTACCAAAACACATATATAGACCAATGGAACAGAACAGAGCCCTCAGAAATAATACCACACATCTACAGGCATCTGATCTTTGACAAACCTGACAAAAACAAGAAATGGGGAAAGGATTCCCTATTTAAGAAATGGTGCTGGGAAAATCGGCTAGCCATAAGTAGAAAGCTGAAACTGGATCCTTTCCTTACTCCTTATACGAAAATTAATTCAAGATGGATTAGAGACTTAAATGTTAGACCTAATACCATAAAAACGCTAGAAGAAAATCTAGTTAATACCATTCAGGACATAGGCATGGGCAAGGACTTCATGTCTAAAACACCAAAAGCAATGGCAACAAAAGCCAAAATTGACAAATGGGATCTGATTAAACTAAAGAGCTTCTACACAGTCAAAGAAACTACCATCAGAGTGAACAGGCAACCTACAGAATGGGAGAAAATTTTTGCAATCTACTCATCTGACAAAGGGCTAATATCCAGAACCTATGAAGAACTCAAGAAAATTTACAAGAAATAAACAACCCCATCAAAAAGTGAGCAAAGAATATGAACAGACACTTCTCAAAAGAAGACATTTATGCAGCCAACTGACATGTGAAAAAATGCTCATCATCACTCGCCATCAGAGAAATGCAAATCAAAACCACAATGAGATACCATCTCACGCCAGTTAGAATGGCAATCATTAAAAAATCAGGAAACAACAGGTACTGGAGAGGATGTGGAGAAATAGGAACACTTTTACACTGTTGGTGGGACTGTAAACTAGCTCAACCATTGTGGAAAACAGTGTGGCGATTCCTCAAGGATCTAGAACTAGAAATACCATTCGACCCAGCCATCCCATTACTGGGTATATACCCAAAGGATTATAAGTCATGCTGCTATAAAGACACATGCACATGTATGTTTATTGCGGCATTATTCACAATAGCAAAGACTTGGAATCAACCCAAATGTCCATCAGTGACAGACTGGATTAAGAAAATGTGGCACATATACACCATGGAATACTATGCAGCCATAAAAAAGGATGAGTTTGTGTCCTTTGTAGGGACGTGGATGCAGCTGGAAACCATCATTCTCAGCAAACTATTGCAAGAACAGAAAACCAAATACTGCATGTTCTCACTCATAGGTGGGAATTGAATAATGAGATCACTTGGACACAGGAAGGGTAGCATCACACACCAGGTCCTATTGTTGGGAGGCGGGAGGGGGGAGGGATAGCATTAGGAGATATACCTAATGTAAATGACGAATTAATGGGTGCAGCACACCAACATGGCACATGTATACATATGTAACAAACCTGCACATTGTGCACATGTACCCTAGAACTTAAAGTATAATAATTAAAAAAAAAAAAAGGATGAGTTCCTGTCCTTTGTAGGGACATGGATGCAGCTGGAAACCATCATTCTCAGCAAACTATTGCAAGAGCAGAAAACCAAATACCACATGTTCTCACTCATAGGTGGGAATTGAACAATGAGATCGCTTGGACACAGGAAGGGGACCATCACACACTGGGTCCTATTGTGGGGAGGGGGTAGGGGATAGGGATAGCTTTAGGAGATATACCTAATGTAAATGACGAGTTAATGTGTGCAGCACACCAACATGGCACATGTGTACACATGTAAGAAACCTGCACATTGTGCACATGTACCCTAGAACTTAAAGTATAATAAATATATATATATATATTCTCTTAGGTTTAGAGAGAAAAAAGCTTATTAACTATTAATTAAATAATATAAGTAAATGCATTCAAATCCTCTATTCATAATTATTATTATTTAATTGATCTGAGAAAAAATTGACTAGTATATGAAAATCACTAAATTTTTTTTGTTATTTTCTTACAGTTCTAATAGTTTTTGCTTTATATATTTTCAATCTGTATTAGACCATCATATTCTTATTGGGAAAGATGTCTTTTCTCAATGATTCATTTTAATTATATCAGATTCCTATGATCTTAATAAATATTTTTCACTCAAAAAACAATCACAAGATTATGCAGATGAATCTTCATATTCATTCCGTCAATGAAATATAATACTAGTTTCAATGTCTTTTTCCCAAAAGCCTAATTTTCAAGTGAAAGCTTTAGATCTTTGAAAGTAATAGAATTAAAGATAAAGATGGAAAGATAAATAATTCATTTCAGCAGTTTTCTGAGAAATACCACATTTTCCAAAATACATATATTTTATAAGAAATGGTTTCTCTTTAGGCTATTAGAATATCAATCTTCTACAATAGGCCAATTTTCAAAGCACTAGGCCTACGTTCACTTAATCAGTCTCATGAAGCAAAACTTGAATTAAGATATTCCATTTAATTTAGTCCACATATTTATCAAGCAAAGAAACTATCAAACAAATACTCTTTCTTGCCGAAGTTCTTGGGATTTCCACGGTGCTTAATGTGTATTTTTTTCAATTGTGAGATCAAACAACACACATCTTGAGCCATTGTATATGTTACCTGGGTAAAAAAACTAAATTAATCTTTTCAAATATCTAATGGAATCCCAGGCATAGTGATTTATTAAAATATTAAATTAAATTTTAAGAGAAAATTAATCACTAATAATGAAATGAGTTGATTTTCTAAGAAAAGTAAGTATGTAATTAAGGAATCATTAGCAGACTCAAAACCATTACAACATTTAAAAGCAATCAACATTACAATTCTTAGGGTGTGTTTTAAATTCCTCATAACCTAAACATATACATTCATTCATTATTCACTTGCCATGATCAACAATGAAAGATGAGTTAGAAAAACCAGAGGCTTTAATTCAAAAATGACAATCTTTGGTACTGCAGCAAGGAAATAACTAGCTGGTGAAATTAATGACTCCATCTGGCTTTATCTCGGCAATGTTCTGATATACATGCAATGAACAACTTCACATTGTTTGATGTTGTTAATTCTTTACAGCCATCTCTATGGCTGGTCATAATACATAAGGTCAATCCGAAATGATCATATTATGAAACATAAATCACTTCACATGCCTTATCTGGAAAATGTGCTTGTACTTACTTGCACCATCTCAAGTTCCAAGAGCCAAAAATATATACATGCTCATGAAGGAGAATTTCCTTTCTGATTTTAGAACAGTCTGAAAATGGGGTGAAAAAATGAAAAAGAAGGGGGAGCTTACAAATAACAAAAATGTATATCCCAAATGAAAATTAGAATTTCTATGGAACGAGTAGCAGTAACAATAGTAGACAAAAGATAGAATGTAGATGTTAAGAAGATGTCTACAAGGGAAGCACAAGACTCCAAAGGCTCTTGCTACTAAAACATAGACTCAAGGTTTACCATCTGTAATATTCTGCTGCCAAGTACATCTATGCCACTCGTACTGTCTAAAATGAGGATATATATTAAGAAATCACCAAAAAGGACTGCATAGCAGAAACTTTTCTGATATCAAGGGATCAACCTAACTACAATTATATACAGGTGCCAATTTCCTCTGGAGTAAACTAGCACACTGGGCCTCATGTACCAGTTAGATAATCCAAACCAGCCCTTATTGCATAACTTATCTAAAATATTGGACTCTACATTTTGGCTCTGCAGAACTGAGAGAAGAAATGTATAAATAGGATAGTGATATTGCCTTTGTCTATGGGAATTCTTGAGTCTAATAAAAAAAGTCTGGGAAAAATCTAACTCCATGATTACACTTGGGCACATAGGTGATTAATATGAATGAAGTAACAACCATAAATACAATCATAACCACAAGAACAACAGTAATTCAAATTTTTTCACTTCACAGATGTTCTTAGAATGCTTTATTGGTATCTTGCAGGTGCTGTCCCCAAGCCTCAGGTGTCATTGCATAATCTCAGTTGATGCAAAGGCAAACACCACACTCTCCTCTGTTCAATGTCTGCCATCCCTGTCTTTTTGGCCTCTGACTCTTCCCTATACTACTATCTGTGCACTTGAGATCTTCACTGACATAGCTGGGCTCTGTATTTATTGATAAGAATATCTCCTTTCTCTTAGACTAGGCATGACCAAAAGGTTAATCTGGGTTCAAAGATCAATGACAATGACCACTCAGTTTTCATTCAAGATCAATTTTATTTATTGTACAAACAAACATGGGTTACATTCCAGACAAACAGATATAAGTGAGTAGACGTATGCCCTGGTGCCTCCTTGGCTCTTCACAGGATGCAAAACAAATCCTGCCAGCAGGAAGTGGCAGTTTGCAGAGGTGGCAGGTGGCAGAGGTGGCTGGTTGTTCTTTGAGCTGGCTTGGACTTGTCTGGCATGCACAGGCCCTGGCACAGCAAAACATTCAGGGAATAAGAGTGTTGCACAAAAGATTTTACCAACTTTGTCACATTAAGCAGCATTCAAGGATTTGCTGACCACCACTTAAGCAAATTTTGTGTTATGCTATAGCAGTGAACTTACTTGTTCTATTTCTAAACAAAACATTGGGTTCACACACAGGCCTGGACAAAGCTTCCCACTTCTGGACTATTTACTGATCTTCTTATTCTCAAAGAAAGCAAGATGAATGATGTGTCATACCATGGCTATGGCGTGTGACTCTTCTAGACCTGGATAGTTGGTGTCCCAATATTTAACTGATTTTGAGGGGGACTGAAAATATGCCATCAGTTCTTCCTTCTATCATCCCCATCGCTACCATACACATAATGACATAATCATGTCACAGTATGTCCTCAGAATCACTATTTCTAGCTGAGTGTATACTAAGGCTTTATATCTAGGTCAGTCCATTGTACCTGTGTCTCCTCTACACCCTCCTTCACCATGCCTACCTTGAGGAATTCAGCAAGTGATCATTCACACAAGTTAAGGATTTTAGCTTTCTCTGCCATAAAGATTATTGCTAAAATACATACCATACAACAAACCAACCCATTTCCCACAAATCTTATTGTCTGACTTCTCGCAGAATACATAATGACTTTTATTGTGTCTCTTCCTTCCGTGTTTCTCTTTCCTAACTGAACTTTGTTCTTTATCCAGGCCTTCTTCCAATCCTGACACATTTTAAAACCTTTAGCATTTCTGCCTATAATATTCGGGTGTTCTTCTTTTCCTATCTTTACTTAATAAGTCCCACACAAATATTTTCCCCATAATCACAATGTTTTCTTTTCCCTTTGCTCAAGAACTGAGTTATGAGCTCCAAATGAGGTCTGAAAAAATTTGGATAAACTCTACATTGGCTAAGTTTTTGTCATTTGCACTGCTAATAAAGATGACAATTCAACATGCTGAAGACAACTTCCTCCCTCATAAAGGGGCTAACACAGAGGGCAATACTGTTCATGCTTCTGATTCTTGATCACAAGAATTGCTTTAGGCAATTACAATAATGTCTCCTCTGACACATATTATTATTCAAGTGAGACAGAGAAAGAAGATGTCCTATGTCACACAGCCAGGTGGTGACAGCTGACGTAGCATCAGCACACTGTGTTCCCTCTAATTTCTTCATTCATCTCTAGGTGGCAGTAAATCTGGTCCTGAATACTGACTTTGACACTCTGCTTTCTCCACATCCTTCCTGTCACTTCCTTTGAGACTACTTCAGATTCTTCCCTTAGCTTCTATTTCTCCATTTGTAAAATTGGGTTGATGAGGATATCTTCCTTCAGTAGCTTTGACAATAAAAATGGGATCATCACGCATCCTCCTTAGCCCCATGAGTAAGCTCCCAGTAAGTGAGGTTGCCATCATTATTGTATATTTAAGGTGATCTACCCATTTGAAAAACCCTAGTCACAGAGCCTCAGTTGCTTTTCTTTTTGGGTGAATGATCACTTGCTGAATTCATCAAGCAAGCTCTTTAACATTTACCTTCCTTTATTATGCTGGAGCATTTCTAATGTAGGAGGCTTTTGTAGCTTCTCACTATGACTGCTTTGTTTGTTCAAAACTTATACAGGCTGAGTATCCTTTATCTGAAATGCTTGGGTCAGAAGTGTTTTGAGTTTCAACTGTTTTCAGATTTTGAAATATTTGCTTATATGTAACGAGATATCTTGGGAATGGGACCCACGTCTAAACACAAAATTCATTTACGTTTCATACACACTTAGCCATATACATATAACCTGAAGGTAATCTTTAAACAATATTTTAAATACTTTTATGCATGAAACTAAGTTTTGAATGTGTTTTGACTGTGACCCATCACATGAGGTAAGATGTGTGGAATTTTCCACTTGTGGCATCATGTCAGCACTCAGAACATTTTGGATTTTGGAGAATTTCAGATTTTGGATTCTCAGAGTAGGTGTGTTCAATTTGTATATATGGGTCAGATTCAGTTGTCTCCTTTAATCCTTGGCTGAAGGAAGCACTAAATTTGGGGCCTCAATCTCCCATATGCAGTGACACTCTCAAAGCCATTGACTCAGCTTCTCACCTGAGTTTCCTTCCAGTAAGCCACAGATAGAAGTCATAGATGATGGCAGGGGCCTGGTGGCTGATGGCATTCCAGTACTGGGTTGTGAAGTTGCTGGTGGTGAAATCAGCATATGGCCTCCTAAAAGCTCTCTCAAATGGAATTGGAATTTCAAAGGTTGGCAAGACCTGGAATCCTGGGGAAAAAAAGAGAGAGAGTGCTAGAGGAGAATAGGAGGATATAAACCATCATAGTGGAAGGTATTTGTAATGGGTCACAGCAATAAAGACAAAGGATTTGCTGTGTAGAGTCAAGAATCAATTTCTGAGAACAATATAAACATTTTTATGCTAAGCAAGTGGTTATCTGCAAAATGAAACAATGTGAATGGGTTAAGAATTGGATCCTCTATTTGAAACATCTACTCTAAAACAAATTCCTGGGGAAACGCACGTAGTCAATATAAGGGGGTACTGTTCAGAAAAAACATAAATCTGCATTTAATTCTAAGGTTATCTAGTCTATTCTGAAAGCCCCAAGGCAGAGGCTAGAAACTTTATTTCCCTGGCTGGACCATTACTTTCAGAACCATTTAGAAAGTTTCTTAACATTTTATTTCAATCTTTATTAAAAGTTTAACTAAAAAATTCTAAAGGCAATATTTTCTTGTGTTAGTTTACTTTCAATATTTCTCTGGGAATATGGCAGACTCAGTTGTCCACTCTGCTATCCAGGGTTTTATTCATAATAGTGTCTTTTTATAGAGTAAGCTTAATTAAGAACTTTTTACATACATTTGTGAATTCAGTAGTTCTTTCAAAAAGATACTCATTTGAATTCAATTTTATTTAAGGTATGTAGGTTTTTGCAAAGCATATGCCTAAGCTCATTATTCAATTATGATGTCAGTTATTACAGTAATATGATTATTGCCCTACTTTAAAAATGCCAGCTAAAAATCTATCTGAAAAATATAGCTCCTCTTCAGAGAAGATTCTCAAGAATCATCTGGTCCATAGGGATTTATACTTTAAAAAGATGGTGGTAAATTAAAAAGTTATGTACAGGTTGATAGCATAAGAGATTCTGATCTCCACACTGACATTCTGATCTATATATCCATATACTTGTTCAACATTTCCAACTGGAGGTGTAATAGACATTCACATTTAACAGCTCTAAAGTGGGCCTCCTGATACACCCACTACTAATGACCCCCTTCCCAATGCGTACACAAACTTGCTGTTTCACCAATCTTCTACCTCTGACCAAATGGTAATTCAATTTGTTTAGTAGTTCAGCCAAAAACTTTGGGGTTATCCTTGATTCTTCTCTTTAACAACCCACACACAATTGAACAAAATCTATCAGCTCTCTGTTTGAAAAATACCCAGAATCATAATTTCCACCTGCTATCTCTCTGATCAAAACCACTACTGTAGCCTGGAATGTTGCAATACTGTCCGAAGTGGTCTCTGCCACTACCCCTGTATCCCCAGTCGGACCTCCATGTAGCCGCCAGAGTGATTCTTCTAAAATGTAACTCAGAGTATATTACAGGAACTTCTCCATTCAGAGCCCTTCAATGGAATCTCTTCTCATTTAGAGGCAAAGCCATGGTCTGCAAGGCCTTGCACTCTCTGCATCCTCTCTCTCTGCCCACCACTCTGACTTCATCTCTTACCGCTCTCCCTCTCAGTGCTTCTGCTGCGGCCATACTGGCCTCCTTGCTGTCCTTGAATATGATTGAAGAACTTTAGCACTTACTGTTTCTTCAACTTGGAATATTTCATCCACATGTCCTTCTGATTTGCCCTCTCATTTATTTCAGGTCTCTACTAAGAAGACACTTTATCGGAGAGACTTTCTTTGGCCATCACATATCAAATAGCAGCCTTCCCACAACACTATTTACTTCTTTAATCTCCTTTATTTTTCTGCACTCAACCATATCTGATGTATATTTCTCCTAAGATTTAAATACCAGAACGAAATTTTGTGTGCATTGTTTGAACTTATACAGTACCTTAAAGAGTGGCTGACTCAGTGACTAATAAACAGTTTTTGACTAAATGAACGAATAAATATCTCAGCAACATACAATTACTTTCCTTTTCCTAAATCTATGTCAATCCTTCCTTTAGTCATTTCAAATATATTTATTTAGCATTTAACACTTGCCAGGCACTGTGGTAGATGCTGAGGTAAAAAAAATTACATATGACATATTCCTTGTCTTTAAAGAATTGGCAATCTGGTGGGAGATGTGGACAATTCATGATTACAATACTTTGCCTGAGTATTCTGCTAGAGGCCAGGACAGTAAGCTCTGGAGGAATACAAAAGAAGCATCTAGCTCTGTCTGGGTGCCAGGAAGGGGAGGGGTGGGGCTGGGTTAGGAAGGCTTTCTGAGAAAGCTGTCCATATGGTGATCGCAGGCGTTTACAAAAATGTTCACTGTTCTAACCACTGTACGAAGCACTTTATCTCCCTACATTCTCCGAAGAGCTCCCTAGAATAGAATAATTATTATTCTCATTCACAGATAAAAAAATTGATATACAGGAAGAAACTGAGAGACTTTTTCAAACTGATACAACTAATAAGCAGTGGAGTCTACTGAATGGTGGGACGCATCTCAGCATATAACAGCTATGTGAGCACGGACTTCTGTTTAGTGATACATCCTCAGCACCAAGAATAATGCCTATTTAATGAATACAGGAGTGAGTGAATGAGCTAGGATTTGAATCCAAGTCTATCAGATCCCAAAGCCCAAGACTTTTAACCATGAAGCTACCGTCTTTCTGATGTGACGGACAAGTAGAAACTCATGCACATGTAGAAAATGTAATTTGGCAATTGAAAACTGCACTCTACATCCTCATAGGTCAAAGAAGAAATTCAAATGAAAACTGTTTAAGGATTAGAGAATAATGATAACATAAACATTATACAATAAAATGTGTGGGATACAGCCAAAGTGGCATTTGAGGGAAATACAAGCCATGAATGCATGTATTAGACAAGCCGAATATTTGTGGGCTATATTTCTAAGTTAAAGAGAAGAAAAACATAATCAAAGAAAACAGGAGGAAGGGGAAAAAAGAGATAAGGCAATACATCTATGCAACAGAAAACACAGCAGCGTAATAAAGAGTCAATAGGCTGGGCTCAGTGGCTCATGCCTGTAATCCCAGCACTTTTGGAGACCGAGGCGGGTGGATCACCTGAGGTCGGGAGTTCGAGACCAGCCTGACTAACATGGAGAAACCCCATCTCTACTAAAAACACAAAATTAGCCAGGCGTGGTGGCGCATGTCTGTAATCCCAGCTACTCTACTCAGGAGGTTGAGGCAGGCGAACTGCTTGAACCCAGGAGGCAAGGTTGTGGTGAGCCAAGATCATGCCATTGTACTCCAACCTGGGCAACAAGAGCGAGACTCCATCAAAAAAGAAAAGAAAGAGAAGAGAAGAGAAGAGAAGAGAAGAGAAGAGAAGAGAAGAGAAGAGAAGTCAATAAAGCCAGAAGAAGTTGGTCCTTTGAAAAAAAGAAATAAAGTAGACCCTTTAGAGACTAGCTAAGAAAAGATAAGATACACAAATATTATGAATTAAAACAGAAGCATAATTACAGATACAGTTTAGGACAAAAATATTAATATAATATGAAAACAATGTAAATACATTTTAAAACAGATAAAATCTTAGAAAAAGAGACAAATATAACTAAAACTGATTCCAGCAGAAAATGAAGCCTGCAAAATTCTTTAACTATTAAAGACACTGAAGCAATAAAAAATGTTCTCACCAAAAATTATAAATCCAGATAATTTAAAGGTGCTTTTCCCAAGTTTTGGAGAAACAGATTACTCCACTATTACACTTTCACTCCACTAAGCATGAAAACTGTTTAAGGATTAGAGAATAATGAGAATAATTAAGATTAGAGAATAATAAGCATTTTCAGAGAATAGAAAAAACAAGGGAACTATATGATTAGCAAATTGAATTAAACAAAATATAAAAAAAGATAATACGGCATGACCAAGTTGGGTTTATCCTAAAAATGGCAGGAGAGTTTAATATTTGAAGTCTTCTGCTTAAAATTAGCAACAAGACAACAATATGCACTATTGCCATTTGTATTCACCATTATAGTAGAAGTTCAACAAGAAGGCTGGGCGTGGTGGCTCACGCCTGTAATCCCAGCACTTTGAGAGGCCAAGGCAGGCAGATCATGAGATCAGGAGATCGAGACCATCCTGGCTAACACGGTGAAACCCTGTCTCTACTAAAAATACAAAAAATTAGCCAGGTGTGGTGGCAGACGCCTGTAGTCCCAGCTACTCAGGAGGCTGAGGCAGGAGAATGGCGTGAATGAACCCAGGAGGCAGAGCTTGCATTGAGCTGAGATGGTGCCATCAACAAGAAAAATAAAGACCTAAGGCTTGAAAAAATTGGGATAATACTAGTATTTTTGCAGATTAAGTAACTGTCTACATAGGAAATCAAGAGGAAATTTTATACAATTTCTAGCAATAAGTTTAGCAAGATAGCTGAATATAAGGTCAATATACAAAAATCAATTGCATTTGACATCATCCACAAACAATTAAAAAATATATTTTTACAAAAGACATTTAAATTAGTAAAAAAAAAAAAAAAAAAAAAAAAAAAAAGCATCAATTACCTAGGCCCTAGGTATAAATCTGATAAAAGATGCTTAAGACCTATATGCAGGAGATTAAAAACTCTTCTTAAGGGACACTAAAGGAGACAATTCTATGGAGAGATAGCCCATGTTCACCCACCCAGCTATCACTCCTTGTAATATCACCTGAGACTATATATGCTCAACCTCCTGTTAACATGGCTACTGCTCCTAGTAGGAAGCATTTTTATCCCTCCTAAGAGTCCCCGATAGGAAACACAAATGAGTTTAATTTGAATGCAACATCAAATTAATTAGTAATAGCTTCCAGAAATGCTGTGTTAGAAGGGAATCCAGAACAGAGCCTTGGCACAGGGATAACCAATGTCATATCAGCCTACAATGTTTGCTATAGGTGTGAGAAACTGTAGAGCCACAGTGTCCAGCTGTCCTGCAATAGAACTCTCAGTGTGGTACCATGGCTTCCCATTGGAATATGAAGAGCCAGTGTCATCTATGTAACAGGGACAGAAGGGATGTGTTCGCAGGTACTAAGAAATCCTACAGAATAGCAAAATTCCCTATTTTTATCTTCTACCATCATTAGATGTTTAAGTTGTACTCAAATTGATTTCCATGGTTTTTGTACATTGAACAGATTAAATCCCTTACCTTCAGACAAATTAATCATTTGTATAGTACAGGGTTTCTCAAAGAGCATTTCCCCAAGTATCAAGAATCATCTAGATGCTTATTAAAAATATAGTTTCCTCAGCATCACCCAAGACCTTGGTCCCAGGGTCTAAGGAATCTGGATGTTGTTTTATTCTCCCATAGTGATTCCTATTCACTTTTACAAATCACTAGTAGAGTAGTTAATGCACACCCAAGAGAGGCAAGTTGCATAAATTAATGGTCAGTATTACAGACGCAATCAGGAAGGAATAAGATCACTCGACTTTTCTAAATCCCATTGGTCACTGATCATGTCACATTCTCAGTGATGTATCAAGAAGGGAAGGGGTGTGTACAGGACCCACTGCCCCAGCAGGGAGGAGTATTTCAGCATTTTATCACTGAGATTCTTTATAACTGCCAACTTTTGCTTTATTTCATCACTGTTTTTTTAAAATCTTTATAACCAATGGACCCCCTACTGCTTACAATCATGTATGTGTTCCCAATGACTCCTTTCCTTGGTAACCACAGTACCTTCTAGTTAATTACCACAGATTTACAATTTCTCATTATTTTGTCTCTTTATTTACTTTCTGTCTTTCTCCCCATGTAGGCTCTAAGCTCCATGACACACTTTGTCTATTTTTTCTCTGTGTCAGACACTAGTAATTATGCAGATACATGGCTAAAGTACTTACCCATTTTGCCCCAATTGCAGGGATTGAGGTTACCAGATGTACAGTGGTAGACTAACATTGACTTAGGTCTGGAAAATGAAATAAAAATTAAATAAATACAACAGAATGGAAAACTAATGAAAGAAAAATAAGGGAGACAGAGTTGTTTCCATAATTCATCTGATTAAGGCAACCTATGCAAGAAGGCTTCTGTATTTTTTTCTTTCTTTGGGTTAATAAGCAAACTGGAAGAAGACTAGCAAAAGGCTGTGTGTGGGGGGGTGCGTGTGTGTGTGAAAGACATGTGTTAAATAGGAGTGACATATTATGAAGCACATATGTGTGAGTTCACATAAGAAAAATTTAATTCTGTTTACCACTTACTAACGCAGCCAAATGTATGAACAACCTGTTTTTCTTTTTTTCCTTTGTACCAGGAAACTTCCCCACACATAGCGATTGAACACTTTTGGCATTAACCAGAGTTCAACTAAAAAAAAATATTCTCTCATTTCATCCAGTTCTATCTCCTTTGCCCTAAAAAAGAAAGCTGAATGTTAAACTACCAATAGAAAGAAAAGCCTTTTGGTTATCAAGAATTTTATGGTTAAGTGATTTAAATGTTTTATTACTTTGTGAGTAGCCAAGTACTAAACTAAACAACTCAACATATATATGATGGCATATTAGGAACTCTATAAAATATTGAAATGAACACCCTCTCACATTTGGGGTCTTATACAATGAAATGCCTATATTTGGAAAATGTGCCTAATAGATGAACCCTCCCTCTCATGAAATCTTTGAAAGCCCACTTGAGCATCCACACCTGTGAGCTGCAGCACACCATCCTCCAGCTAGCGGGAGATTGATGGCTGTATCAACCGGAATTGGAATTTAGTCTGCCACAGCCATTGGAGTAGTTTTTATGGCCAGAAGAAACCCTTTCCCAGCCTGCACAGGAAAAAGAACATAAAATGTGAAACCAGGTCTTAAGTAACAGCTGGGGCTAAAGTATGTATCATCAAACTGATTATACTAGTGCAATAAGTGAAGACAGCTAACATCGATCCATCGCTTACCAGGTTCCTACACTAAGTCTGACTTCGTCAGCCTATCCTAGCTTCTCAGCCAAGGTCACCTTCAGCATTTTCTTGAACTACTAGTGTTCCTCACGTTCCTTTAGGGAATAAAATTCCTCATATTTGTGAGAGGTTAATAAACTTAGTTAATTACCAAACACCAAGAATACACCTTCACATTTTAAAAATTAATTAATAAGACACGTTAAGAATTAAGGTTACACAAATTTCCCATTAATGTTTACCATTTCCTTGATGATTTTGTTTTCTGCTAGGGTTTATTAACCCACAAGCAATAGTAGGCACTAAAAGTTTAAGAAATTTTATTTGAAAAAAAATTAATTGGTGAAATTCCACAATTAATAAGACAAAAACTTTTTTGGCTTAGAAAAATGGTCTTATTATTTACTTTTTATTCAGAATCTCAGTTCACCTCACAGATCACTAATGTTATATAGATACAGGAGTTGGGAATTATTTACGTTAATAATTTGTTGAGTTTATGAAGTTGATTCTTTCTGCTTTGCATGTTTCCCACTTTGATTTGAAATGATTAACACTTTCTTACCTTACTCAATTCTCTTTTCTTATAACTAGCTCCCCTTCTTTTGGACGTAAGAAACCAATTTAGAACATTTTAAAAAATGTAAATAAATATGCATCTTTGCATATAATGAAAACTGCTTTGGGATCGTGTTAAAATAATGATGTTCTAAGTCACCACACATTCACCCCAACTGAACTTTTTTAGGAGAAAGAGTTGAAGGCAGGTGGGAAACAGAAAGAAAGGGGCTGCTGGAAAAATCTGAAGTTCGAAGGAAGGTCTTTGTCACTATCATAATTCATTGTTTTATATTTGTATTTTAATTCATGTTGAATCTAGCTCTGGGAGGAAGAGAGACAGAGTCTGAAGCGCAGTTCGAATCCCTAATAAGATTTAAACTCATTTAGATCACTGATTTCCTACTCACTGTACAAAAAAGTAAAGTGGTGCTTAGGCCCTAAATGCCTCAGTGTGAGCTGTGAACCCCACAGCTCTACCGGATCCATCTGGACTTCAGGGAGATGCGCACTGAGGGCTGTTTACCTAGAGGAGCCACGTTTCTCCTTGTAAGACATTATTGAAAAGGCGTTGCTGGCACATGTGTACCCATGTAACAAACCTGCACGTTGTACACATGTACCCTAGAACTTATAGTAATAATAATAAAAGAAAAGGCCTTGCCTATATTCACTGGTGTTTGTATTTGAAAAATTTGCTCCAATATTGGTAGTTCTCTTTCTTGTATTCATTAAGAATTTTTGATGTATACCTGCTTTCCATACACACACGTAAACTCGTATGTGTTAATAACGAATTTAATAATCTTTGAAGATATTATTTTTACTGCATCCTCAATTCACTGCACTAATTCACGCAATTATAAACTGCAGAAAGGAGGAAATACCCCCATCTTGCGATAAACAAAGCAAAATCCTTGGCAGAACCATGCCCCCCTGCCCGCGCCCCGACCAGCCCACCCGGGCAGCCACTCACCGGTGTGCGTCGTCCTAGCTCCCGGCCATGTGGCCAAGTGAATCCATCCTGCCGTCCGTCTCCACTTTCGCCAGCCCGTACCGTGAGCACCGCCTGCAGGAGGGCTGACCCCGCACAAGGGGCACCTACTACTACCTCAACACGTGGCGTGCGGGACTTCATTCGGTCCACAGGGCTGGACGGCCTGGGGCCGAGGACACCCCGAAGCCCCCGCGACCCCGCCGTCTGCGTCCTGCTACCCAAACACTGCACGCAGCTGCCCTATGGCACCCCCGTGAATGGCCTGGTGTGGGTCCCAGCCGCTGCGACGGGAGCTGGACCGGCCGCGGATGGCCCGCCGGTTTCTTTTCTTTTCTTTTTTGATGGAACCTTGCTCTGTCGCCCAGGCTGGAGTGCAGTGGCGTGATCTCCGCTCACTGCAAGCTCCGCCTCCTGGGTTCACGCCATTCGCCTGCCTCAGCCTCCCAAGTAGCTGGGACTACAGGCGCCCGCCACCTCGCCCGGCTAGTGTGTGTGTGTGTGTGTGTGTGTGTGTGTGTGTGTGTGTGTGTGTGTGTGTTTACGGTGTGTGTGTGTGTGTTTTTACGGTGTGTGTGCCTTTTTTTTTTTTTTTTTTTTTTTTTTTTTTTTTTAACGGTTTCACCGCGTTAGCCAGGATGGTCTCGATCTCCCGACCCCGTGATCCGCCCGCCTCGGCCTCCCAAAGTGCTAGGATTACAGGCCTGAGCCACCGCGCCCAGCCTGCTAAACCGCTTTCTACTGGCGCTGCCGAGCCGCGTGGTTAAGGCCCGGCCCCCTGAAGCGGACAGCGGCGGCCAGGGCGGCGCACCCGGGTTCACCCATGGACCTCGCGGCCTCAAACACGAGGGCGCCCAGGGCCGGCGGCTTCATGCATGCGAAGTCCCGGGTCCCTCCCGCCGCCCCCGACACCCGCCCCTCAGCCCCTACTGGCCCGCGCCCCTCCTGCCCGCTGCCCTTCCGTGGCGCTGGCTTAGGACACCCAACCCGGCCTTTATGAGGCGCCCCCCAGCTCCCAGCTCCCCAACCCCCACCCCCGTCCGTTTTCGGTAGCTTTGGCGCCGCCGCCACAGTCCTGGGCCTAGGCCTGGCACCCCCAGTCGCCCGCGGTCTCCTCGTGGTGGCGCCGGCGTCCCGGCTGGAGCTGCTGGAGGCCAAGCCCAGGAGTGGCGGCCGCTCCTGGCCTGGGAAAGGCACCACCATGTATGCCTGTGCGGCTAGGGCAAGCCCCACAGCAAGAGATCTCACCCCAAGGCACATCCGCGCAGCACACAAGTGACAAGCCGAACCACTGCCACTGGGATGGATGCAGCGGGAAGCTGCTCACTCAGACAAGCTATGGCTCTGCCACCCCAAGCACAGGGGCCACTGGCCATTTCAGGGCCACTGGTGCCACCGCGCCTTCTCGCGCTCCGCCCACCTTGCCCTGTACAGGAAGGGGCACATGCAGCCCAGACGCCCCCGCCCACCTGCGCAAGGCCCCCTCCCAAACTGTGACCGGTATTTATTGCACCCAGAGAAGCGGGCAGGGCACAGTGTGGCTACAGAGGGTCTGAAGACGACGCCACCGCCCCAGCCCCCATCTGTGACTGAAGGCCAGGTGGGAAAAGACCACTATTCGCCTTGACGAGTTCTGTTTCTCAAAATGGTGCAATAATTAAGTGGCATCTTCCCTCCCACCCCACCAGGTCATAAGGCTTGATGTCCTATGAGAAATAAGGGCCTTAATTGGTACTGTCTGCAACATTTTTTATAATATTGTACAAAACTGTGATAAATATTGCATTACTGTATATAGAGCGGCAGGTGGGCATTTTTTGGGCTACTTGCTTCATTTTTATAAGACTTTTGCTGGTTTTATTTTTAAGTTTAAAATAGTTAAAAAAAAAAAAAAGAAAAAAGAAAAATCCTTAATTCTCAAAGACTTTTCAAAATAGAACTCTTAAATAGTAATTGATAGTGCTTTACCTGTTTTCCTGATAAAAAATTCTAAAAGAATAAAAATAATTTCATCCTGCCTTCATATTATAACCAGAATAGTTGAAATAATATGCTTCAATTGATAGTAAAGTAGCATTTACGTTTTTGGATCAATGAAGCTAAGCCAGCACTAAGAATTCTGTTACTATTCCTCCACTACATTTCAGAGTTATTTCTTCATCCCTATACATACCGCAATAATGAGTCGGCTAGGTCCATTTAGATTATCAACCCAACCCTAAAAGAAAGAAGATTTCCATTGGTTACACATTTTAGAAAATTGTTGTTATCTTGGAACATCTGCAGTCTAATCTCAATAAATTTCAAACAAGGGCACTGAGACCCCAGCTAATAGAACTATCTAATTCAGTATTATTAAGATCCCAAAGATCAATGGCAAAGCATTGGCTATTTTGTGAACTTTGTCCAATAATTAAAATTTGGCCAGGATTGTTGTTCATAGCAGGAGCCATGAATGGTTTTGCAGCATTTTGTGACATCTTGAGGGCTACGGTGGACCTTGTCCTTATATCATGATCTGCTAAGCAATTCACCAACCATACTTCTCCACCTCAGTCCTGATTTTAGCCTCCTTAGGAGAACATTGAAAACATGATTGGTAATAATGTGTGTTGACTTGCTTAAAGATGTTACAGGAAAGATTATGCTTAAGAGTAGTTAGAGGGAAATGTCTTTTTGAGTTTGTTTCCTAAGCCCCAAGCCATTCAGCTGACCTTATTATGTCTCTTTACCTTACAGTATAAAAGTTGAAATGTGTATAATGGGAGACAAGAGATATGGGAGGAGAAGATGAAGGGACTAATATTAATTGAGCCTTTTCAGTAGGGACCCGCCTTTTACTAGAGTCTGAGCACTCCTCTCCTCATACATTGTCTCATTAAACCAACTATCCAAAGTAGTATCTGTCCTGTTTTATGGAAAGAACAACTCAAAAATGTCGCATTGCCAGTAAGTGGTGGAGCTGGAATTTATCTGCCCCCAAAGCTTCACAGACCTGCTTTGAAGAAGACAGTATAATTCAAAGTACTTTCAGAAGGACACAGCAGTATACTGAGGTTAAAAAAAATTACTATTCCCAAACTGAGATCCTTCTGTGAGCTTTGTAACTCTTGTTTACCCTGGCAGTTAGTTGCAATACTATCAAGTTGGCCATCAAGAACATTCTGGTCTGTTTAAGCTATAGTGGGAAAGCCAAGATATAAAAACATCACCCATGGGAATTTTGAGACTAGAGTAGTTAGAAGCTAATTTAAGATCTCCATCCAACTCTAAGATAGTCAGGGTAACTGCCAGAAAGAGCCTCATGATCCCAAAGTGGGATTTTGCCCTAGTATAATGGGTTCATATTTGATTGGCTGCATTTAGCTATAAATCCTGAGGAGAAGAAGAAAGACATCAGAAAATAATTGGGCTAGAAAAACCTTAGTTTGAAAGCAAAACACAGAATCCAGGTAAGTGGGCTTACTGGGAAAGGCTTATGCCACGTTGCTCCCACAATGGAGGGCCTTATGATGGCGATGGTTAGACTCCTGCTCTCCTGCTGCACCACCATTTCTCCCAAGGCCTTGGTGTAGGTGTAAGTATTGGGCCAATCTCCGATCCGCTTGGGTGTGATCTCGTCAATAACAGCGTTGTCTGTACATAAAAGGTAGTCAGAGTAAAATGAATTCTAGCAACATGTGTTAGACAATAGACCAAAAGGAAAATGTGAGACACAGTCAAACAAAACTTCCACCTTTTAGCCATGGTTCTGGAATTCAGAACAGTCACATGATACCAAGTTTGAGTGCATACCTGCTTAAAGCATACATGAGCTCTTTTCACTGCTAAGCCCAATCTTATCAGTCAAATCCTGTACCCTCCCATCCAGACAGGTAGGTAGATAGATGGATAGAATCAATAGCAATGCCACTTTATTACTACTACTAGTGTAGGACTATTAGTACTACTTTATTAGTACTACTTTAGTGCTACTTTTACTTTACCAGTACTGATTATTCTGTAGTAGTACTAATTTGAGGTAATTACATACAACCTCTTTACTTCCTCTCCAACAAGCTCATAAGTACATTCATTGCACACATTTTTGAGTTCCAGTCATTCTCCCAGCAGTGTGCTGGATGCTGTGTTCAGGGAGTTTGAGGCTCTCATCCAAGGTGTTTCAGTGGCAGCCCTGTTCAGTATTGTCCCATAGAAACCCAGTGCAGTGATCCTGAAGACTTTAGCTTTACATTTTAAAAATTTCATTCAAGGCAAATCAAATCAAAGTGACTACTTTTGGCAGACTGACGATCTGTTTTACCAATACTATGTAATGCATTTTGAAGGTCTGTTTAGAGCCTGTGATAATAACTTGGTAATTATTTCCAGAGATTTTCAACGAATTCTGAAGTCTGTCAAGTGGGGTGATTATAGCACTCTGAAACAGCTTGAAAATCATGAATATTGAATACTCCTACTTACAAGATGACATGTATCATGAATAACTGAGTTACCATAGCATCAGCCTAATCTTTCTTAAAAATGTGTCAGAACCAGCCGGGCACAGTGGCTCACACCTGTAATCCCAGCACTTTGGGAGGCCACGGCGGGCAGATCATGAGGTCAGGAGATTGAGACCATTCTAGCCAACGTGGTGAAACCCCGTCTCTACTAAAAACACAAAAATTAGCTGGGCATGGTGGTGTGTGCCCATAATCCCAGCTATTCAGGAGGCTGAGGCAGGAGAATCACTTGAACCAGGGAGCAGAGGTTGCAGTGAGCTGAGATTGTGCCACTGCACTCCAGCCTGGTGACAGAGCAAGACTCCATCTCAAAAAAAAAAGTCAGAACCATTTGATTGATAACCCCAAAATCTATCTACAGCTCTCTAAGAGAGCAAAAAAATTATTGTCAATTAAATATGTAACATTTATTCTAGCTCAGATCTATGTGGTTAAATTATTAATATAACATAGCTTTTTAAAAATTAAGCTGTTGGAATATGCTAGTGTGATTTTGCTGATCAATGTGGTACATTTATTTCTATTTTATACAACAGAACATAACTATACTATTTTGATTGTAGAAAATCTTCAGTGTTACCACCTTGCTGACATGACAAATTTTTGAACAACTAACATGTTCATGAGGTTAAGACTTATTCAGAATCACAACTCTCAGTATTAATCCTCATTTGATCCTGGGGGAGAACTTGGGCATTGACCATTATGTTTCCATTTTTCTTGCTTTGCTTCTGAGTGTTGAGTGTGTTCTGGATACTCAAATGCCTTTTCATTTAAATTGAATAGAGAAAGATTGAGAGGTTCTAGAATTAAAAACAACTTAAACTACAGAGAAATATCAAGGATATTTTAATTATATGGTCACCTAGTGGCTGGGAAAGAGTGTAGGATGCTGCAGACACCTCTCCATCTTCACAATAATCCTACCTCATTCCATTTCTGGGTCAACAGTGGATTGACTGACCTAAGACTATTTTCCCTCAACTGCAAAAATAGAGAGTTTATAAAAACCAGGTCTTGAGGGAATACAGCTTCATTTCAATACAGCTGTAAAGAAAAAATTCCTAGAAAACATCAGAGCCCAACAATGTGCTGGGATTGTATGTCACATGGCTAGTATCGGTTGCTGTCATTAATGTTGGGGTACATGGAAAGGATAATACTTGCAGGAATGGGAGCCTCATAAAGCTTAGTGAGTTTGCTTGTATTAGAAAATGTTGGGGTTTTTTTTGTTGTTGTTCTTGTTGTTTGTTGTTTGTTGTTGTTGTTGTTGCTGTTTTGAAACGAGGCCTCACTCTTGTCACCCAGGCTGGAGTGCAGTGGTGAAATCTCATCTCACTGCAATCTCCACTTCCCAGGTTCAAGCAATTCTCCTGCCTCAGCCTCCTGAGTAGCTGGGATTACAGGCGACCACCAGCACACCGGGCTAATTTTTGTACTTTTAGTAGAGACGGGGTTTCACCATGTTGGCCAGGCTAGTCTCGAACTCCTGACCTTAGGTAAGCTGCCCGCCTTGGCCTCCCAAAGTGCTAGGATTACAGGCATGAAAAAATTTTGGTTTTATAGATTTCTAACAATGCACATGGAAGAAATTTTAATATTCTATAGATGGCTTACCTCTGCTACCCTTAGCTACACCTGTATTCCACTGTTTTATCTTATTCTAATTCTACTTGTGAAAATGGCAATAATTATATTCATTGTAAATTTTCAGGCTATTATGAGGGTAAACAGAAATATTCACAACTGCATTTAAGCTCTTTGATAAAACAAAATGAGCCAATAAACCTAAGGCGTTCCCATTTTTAAATAAAACAACCGGAAAGCATCATATGTCTGCATAGGTAATAGTTGGTTTTAAAATGTCATTTCTGGCCACATGTAGTAGCTCAAACCTGTAATCCCAGCAGTTTGAGAGGCCAAGGAAGGAGGATCGCTTGAGTCCAAGAGTTTGAGACCAGCCTGGGCAACATAATAAGACCCAGTCTCTACAAAAAAATTTTAAAGATTAGTTGGGCATGGTGGTGTGCACCTGTAGTCCCAGCTACTCAGGAGGCTGAGGCAGGAGGATTGCTTGAGCCTGGGAGTTGAAGGCTGCAGGGAGCTATAATTGCATCACCATACTCCAGCCTGGGTGACAGAGTGAGACCCTGTCTCAAAATGAATGAGTGAATGAATGAAAGAATGAATGAATGAAACAAATAAAAATAAAGTATCATTTGTAATACAGCCAAAGAGATCATCTGCTAGCTCATTGAGCCACTTCCAAGGTTCAGACAGGAGATTAGTGTAAACATGCACATGCACTGGTTGGGCAATGCCCTTCTCAGGACTTTCACTCAACTCAGGGTTGCTGCTGTTATTCTCAATTTATTTTAAACACAGTAAATAAGTTAGTATGGATAAAAAACACTATGTAAACCAAAATACATGTCTGAAATTAATCTAAATGTTCTTCAGTACACTCAGGAAGATATTTTGACCCATGGATCTCAAATTCTAAACCTGAATTGCTTCAGAAGAAGCACAAAGTCATTGAAAATTTCAGAAAGCAATATGTGTATATCTACATTGTACACACATAGACACATACACAGTTTCTTCTAAAGATGACTCTCAATTTTGGTTTCAAACTTATTGAATCAACATGATGATATCATTAATAGTTACATTATTTATGCATTTATGGATTGAAATACCAAGAAGCATACGTACTTCCCCTCCCCCATGTTCCAATTTTCTTATGCAACAAGTTGGCAAGCCTAGACGTTCATCAGGAAATCTGTTAGAGAGTAAGTACTGGACACACTGTCTTATGATAACATTTGCTCTCTTTCTCCAGTCGGGATTATATAATTCACTTGACTGTTGTAGTTATCAAGTTGCATTTGCTTATGTGTCTGTCTCCCCATTGGACAGTGAATCCAGGAGAGTAGGGATTATGATTTTTATCTCTGTGTCTAATCATTTTTCTGCCCCCAGAAGCCAGCTGCCTTATTCAGTAAACGGATGCTCTTCGACACTGTAATCTTGATTGGTCAATTTCTGTACTATATAAGGTTTTGGGAAGCAGAGATGGACAATGATGAGACAGAGTGGATGAACTCAAAAGAAGATGAGGTTGTAGGGAGAATGCAGGAAAGGAAGGAAGGGGGTATCTTTGTAGAGCAGGTAGCAAAATTGGAAGTCAAAGTGTCCAGTGGCAGTGGTGATAAGTGTTGACCAACCTCAGTTTGATGAAGGTGGCGGGAAAGTCAATTTAAACTTTTCACTGGGAAGCAAGGTATTTCTGAGTCTAATGCTTATGGAGAATTGGCCTCTGTATTTCCCTCCAGACTTTTATGAAGCACCCAGCCTGGCCCAAACATAAGCCAGATGCTGAATGGCCTGCCAATGGCCTGCCTATGTGAAAATTATTCAGTTTGATTAAGAAAAATTTCATCATATTCTGGTTTGTATATTAAGCCTGCTAACATCAAAGTACACAGAATTTTCCTTTTTATGTCAGCTACTTAGCTGTCATTTTGAAGCTGTGCAATTATTAAATTAAATTAAATCACAGGCTGGGCACAATGGCTCACGCCTGTAATCCCAACACTTTGGCCGAGGTCAGGAGTTGGAGACCAGCCTCGCCAACATGGCGAAATCCTATCTCTACTAAAAATAAAAAATTAGTCAGGCATGGTGGCGGGCACCTGTAATCCCAGCTACTCAGGAGGCTGATGCAGGAGAATCGCTTGAACCCAGGAGGCAGAGGTTGCAGTGAGCTGAGATCATGCATTGCACTCCAGCCTGGGCAACAAGAGCAAGACTCAATCTCAAACAAACAAACAAAAAGCACAAGTGCTAGCATCAGCTTTCACCATTCCCCTAGAAGAGATCAGCTTTTTTGGTGTTAACAACGTGTTCTATAGCACGAAGGCAAGACTACTGTCCACCGTCTGACCTCCTTTCATATCTCCCAGAGGGCTGTGATGAGGGCCACTGCTGCTGGCTGTGGGGGTCTCCATTCCCCTGCCTCTCACCCCTGTACCCTCAGGGCACATGAACCTTTCCTTTTTTACATGGCAGACTAGCTGTGGCTTCTGGTGGCCATGTCGCTTCAGAAGTGTGGTTTTTAGTAGGTACAGATATACTAGGATCTGTCATTCAATTAAAGCTTCTAGGAACTGAAAGACAGCAGGAGATAAAGAGAGCAGGAGAAAGAGGAAGCATGGGTATTAGAAGATAAATGATCTTCATTTCAAATGAAGACTGCTCAGTGAAAAATCTCCTTAAGGCACTATTTCCCAAACTTGCCTGTTCATGAGTGTGAATTACACAGGGACCCTGGGAAAAATCCAGGTCCCTTGGTGCCATTTTAGAACCACTAAATACATCTGCAGAGGTAAGAGTCTGGATAATCTGTGTTTTCAACATGCCCTGGAAATTCCAACAGTCAGGGAAATTGGGGAATCACTAATTTAAAAGAAGTTCGCTCCATCAACTTAAGTCATTAAGATTTGAATATATCAGGATTAGCTCTCAAAAACACATGGCTTCTTGGAGTAAAAATTTCAATAGAATTGAATTTTAAAATTATTAAACCCCCTAATTCTATCCCTCCCCTAGCGCCCCACCCACTGACAGGTTCCACTGTGTGATGTTCCCCTCCCTGTGTCCATTTGTTCTCATTGTTCAACTCCCACTTACCAGTGAGAACATGTGGTGTTTGGTTTTCTGTTCCTGTGTTAGTTTGCTGAGAATGATGGCTTCCAGCTTCATCCATGTCCCTGCAAAGGACATGAACTCATGCTTTTGTATGGCTGCAGAGTATTCCATGGTATATATGTGCCACATTTTCTTTACCCAGTCTATCACTGATGGGGATTTGGGTTGGTTCCAAGTCTTTGCTATTGGGAACAGTGCTGCAATAAACATACGTGCACATGTGTCTTTTAGTAGAATGATTTATAATCCTTTGGGTATATACCCAGTAATGGGATTGCTGGGTCAACTTGTATTTCTGGTTCTAGATCCTTGAGGAATCGCCACAGTGTCTTGCACAATGGTTGAACTCATTCACACTCCCACCAACAGCGTGAAAGCGTTCCTATTTCTCCACATCCTAATGTAGCACCGAATGTCGATGACAGGTTGATGGGTGCAGCAAACTACCCTGTCCTGTGTATACCTATGTAACAAACCTGCACATTCTCCACATATGTCCCAGAACTTAAAAGTATAATAATAATAAAAAAGATTGAAAATTTAATGCTTAAAATGCTAATATTCAATACTTATTAATGTAAAAATTGGCAGGTCTGTTAATAGCATTTGGCCAGATATCACGATCGGATACCATTGGCTAATAGTGAATTCAAATCAAAGGGGGTTTTTAGTATGGATGGGAGGAATTTAACGGGAGCTTGCTTGGTATTCATCATCACTGGCAAAGACTGTCTCAAAAAAAAAAAAAAAAAAAAAAAAAAAAATTATAATAAAGTTACATAGTTCTCATAAAATAACATTAAAAATGGAAAATTCTAAAAGAAAAATAATTAAATTCCTTTAGGACTATTTAAATATGTATCTGTCAATTTTAACATGAAAATTATCTTACATTTATACATCCCACATTCTAATAAGGACTAATTGACATGAATTATGATCAGTAAAGAAATACGTGTATGCGTGTCTGTATACTTATAGGTATATATCTGTTCCTGTAAAAATATCTCTTTTAGAGTCAGAAAATCTGTTTGGTCCCAGTTCTCACTAAAGATACTTAATAAACTCAATAAACTTTACTCTTAATGAGGTAAGAATGAGAACACAGGCGCCAGCAATGAGCTGGGGTTCCTCTGGCACAGGCTTCAGAGATCCTACCTTTAACATCCTCCTTTCATTCATTTGAGCCTGATAAGAGAGGAGTCTCTTGGGAGAGGAACAAGTATACACCTTGGGATCAGACAGCCCATGGTCAAAGTTGAACTCCACCACTGTTCAGCTGTGTGACTTTAGGCAAGTGACTTTCCCTCTCTGATCCTCATGATCATTTTTGGTAAAAACAGCACAGTGACAGGTCTATGAAGATTGGAGGAGCTGAAATAAAAATGTGTGTCTTAGTTTGAGTTTCCTGGAAGTAGATCCTGAGGCAAAGATTCAAGTATAAAAATTTTATCTGGAGATGACTCTAGGACAGCAATTATGCTGCCAGTGCTTCCTTAGGGTTCTAATTGCAGGAAACACTAGTACAGGAGTGGAGAACTGAAACAGGAATGGAATGCAGCAGTTAAAGGGACCTTCATCAAGAAAGTTTCCACTGTGGTCAGTCAGGACTCAGCCCTGCCGGGTACCTCTGAGACACAGCATAGAACATGTGTCTCAGAGTCATCCTACCCAGAGCAAGGGAGTTTGGGTATTTATCCACTCTTACCTAGCAGTCACTTCTCAGGGCTTCTTCCAAGGGCATGATTCCTCCAGAATGCCCTGCCTGCACTGCAAGAATGAGACCTGGAGGGTCAACGGCAAGGGCCCTGACAGCACTTCCAGCAATGAGCACAGCCTGGGGTGGAGAATTTCAGTCCCTCAGTGACCCCAACACACACACACACACACACACACACACACACACACACACACACACACACACATTCCCTCTCTCTCTCTCTATTGCTCTCTCACCCCTCTCTCTCTCATGCACACACACATTCTTTCTCTCCCTCTTCTCTCTCACACACATTCTTTCTCTCTCTCTCTCTCTCACACACACACACACACACACACACACCACACTCCAACACCAACACAGGGTATATGTACATACACACACATGAATACGTGACTGTTACCCACTCAGATCCTGGTGAATCCATGGGATAGAAGATAAGGTGGGAATCAGAGGGAAGAGCAAAATTAAGGGGAGTGAAGGTCTTGGGAACAAAATGCAAATGCAGTCAGAAAATCAAGAGGGAAGAGGAGCGGTCTGGACACCAAATGCCTGCTGGTGGTACCTGCTCTACACACACTGTCAGTCATTCCCCAAGCAGCCTCATAGGGTAGAAGGAATTCCCCTCAACTTACAGATGGCAGAAATGTAGTTCAGAAAAGAAAACTGACTTTACTAACTGATTTTACTGCTCCTGGGCTCTGCTCCTTTTCTTGCTAGGCAATCATAGCAGAACTGACAAAAACATTTTCCCCCTTCACCACCTGTACCAGAGCCAATGAGAGGGGCTGGGGAACAGGCCATGAGGCCCTGCACCCACCATTCAATGTCTTCAGGACTGTGGTCCCTCAGGACTGTTGCACCACGTGCTGGCAGCACTCCCGGTGTCTGGGTGTCTTGTGGAGTTGTACAAGATCCAGTAGAGGCCACTGGCTCTGCTGTCATACCCAGAGGCAGCCAGGCAGGCTTGTGACTCTTGGCTGCTTCAGCACCAGAGGATGGACAGCACTCATGCACTGAGGCTTTTGGGAGAATGAGAGGAGGGAAAAGAAGGGCAGAATGGAGTGATGTAGGGTCCATCCACCACATCCCTGAATGGAAGGACCCCTGTTCCCACAGTAGTCCCACACCGAGACCACCACCGGCATTCATGAATATGCCAGCCTCCATTTCTATGTCCTCGTCTGACAACTCCTTCCCATTTTCATCGTGGAGGCAAGACTCTGAATGTACTAGCTCTGAGGGCACCTGAGTGTAACCTGAGACAGTGCCTGAAGACCTTTCATCCAAGCAGGATCCCTCCCTTGCCATCTCCAGACCTGCCCCACAAGCTCCCTCCCTGGTCTCCTGGCTCTTGTTCACTCCTAGGCAGCCTTCTACAGTCATCTCTAAGATGAATCTGACTGTCACTCCTTTATCCAGCATCTTCCATGGCTCCCCAGAGGGTGCAGTACTGCTCCAGGATGATGGTGTCTGAAGTTGTGCACCAAGTCAGAGGCCCTGCAGAAGCATTGCTCCTCAGGAATGAGGTAGTACAGGAAGTCCATGCACAGGCAGATCTGCTGCTGCCATTACACTATGAGGGCACTGAGCTCCAAGATGGCGGCAACATATTCACTGGCATTTCTGCAGGGTGAGGCTGGGGAGAGGAAGCAGCTCCACAACACATATGAAACCCTGGAAGCCCTTCCCAGCCAAAATCTCTGGACCACACTACTTCCAGAAATGGCTGCCCTCTGAGCACACTTGTCTCTCTGTCTTCCACTCCGAGTTCCATCCTGGCCCCACATGCCCCAGTCTGGACCAGGACTTTGAGCCCAGCACGTGTTCAGTCCATGGTGTTGACTGCTCCCTGGGCCAGAAGAGCCCTTGGTGGCTCTGTGACTCCTCCTGTGGGACCACTGCCTCTGCCTCAAGACCTCCCGATTCCCATGGGAAGAACCCAAGGCTGTGGATTGCCCCACCTGCCCAGGGATCCTCCAACCCCATAGGCCTTACTTGATGCCTTAGCCCTCCCAGAACATGACATGCTTCTCAGAAGGTGACTTATTTCCAATGCCATCTGTGGATGTTTCCTGGGGACCTCTTGCTGTTCTCCTTTATAATCTGTAGGTCAGGGCGAAGAGGAGAAACCAGCCCAACCTCAGAATAAACAAAAGGCTCACTGTCACAAATGGCAACCGCCAAACAGTCAGCAGTGCTTCTGGAAGGAAGGAGGCTTCATTCTGCACAAAACTCCTCGTTTGGCTTCTTTCTGAATCCGGGGAGGGGTAGGTACCAAGCCCAGCTTACCTGTGGTGTCTGTGCCTAGGATGTACAATGGGCCCCTGTTCCCACTGCAAGGTTGATGTTCCCTCCAGCTGGAGATCTGGGCTCCTGACACCTCCTGGCCTGTTTGTCCTGCGCTGGATGAGCGTGGAAAGGCTGTACCTGGTATTTCCCTAGGCCCTTGGTTTCCACCATCCAGACATCCAGCAGGAGTAGCCATGCCCTGCCCCACACCTGAAAGGGAACTCCCTCACAGAGCAGCCGAGACATCTACGGAGGGAAGAGAGCTCGGTGAGACAGGCCACAGGGGTCCCTGGGAAGAGAGCTCGGTGAGACAGGCCACAGGGGTCCCCGGGGAGAGAGCTCAGTGAGACAGGCCAGAAGGGTCCCCGGGGAGAGAGCTCGGTGAGACAGGACACAGGGGTCCCAGGGAGGATCGGGGGTGGAGGATTCTGGAGGTTTCCAGCCTTGGGCTCTGTGGTTCCTCAAAGAGGTTAGGTCCACCTAGTACCAGGCTTCCCCTCCCATGATTCAAAGAACGGATGAGTGTTCAATGTCAGGAACTCTGATCTGGACCTGTTTTTTCATTTACGTCACCAAGAGACAAGCCCTAGCCCCTCAGCTAAGGATGGTCCAAGCTCTGGGATGAAATTCTCCTCCAGCAATGTGATGCTTACAGGGACAGGTAGAAAAGCTGGTGACCAGGCCTGCTGTCCTCTGGGTAAGGACAGTGTGCCACCCACCCTCTGAGAGGCAGCTGGTGCCAGGCCACAGCACTGGGTGCCTGTACCCCTGGCTCTGCAGACACTAGTCATGGAGGTCCCTCCCTTTCCCCATTACCTTCTTGCTTCTCCTAGATTTCTTCTAGTCAGTAAGCACTTTGAGTCATTTTTCTGTGCATCTGATTTTACATGTTTGCTCTCAGATGACACGCGATAAAGTATGCTGAGCTGCCTGGATTCCTGGAGGAGACCTTGGATGCTGAGTCTTGGGCTCCAGGGCCCTGATGGCCCTGAATCAGAAGAAGCCAGGGAAGGACAAATATTGGGGCTGAACCCCTATGACCCAATGGCCATTGGTTGCCCGGCCTTATAGTCCCAAGACACCCTGTCCTCAGGTCAGAGACACCATGGGCTTTGGTCAGGTCCCAGCCTCCCAGTAGTGTCCTGGCACTAGCAGGTGCTGACCCCTGAGCCACAACCGCAGTTCTGGGTTTGGGGTTTGGTAAAACCACCTCAAGGACAGAGTCCTGGGGTCAGATTTGGCAGGAACCATGGTGCCTCCCAGAGATGGTGTACCACTCCCACTTGCCACGAAATGTGCACACAGGCTGTCCCCCTGTCCATCCCATCCTGCTGGACAGGATGGAGGAACTCAGGGAACAGGCAAGGTGGGCAGCTGGGGTGCAGGAAGAGGCAAGAACATGCTGGGGGGTCAGACCCTGTGAGGGCTGTGGAGGCATCAGGTGGAGTGGGCTTCAGGTGCACCTTCAGTGCACTGGGCATGTCTCAGGCCAGGCTCCCCGGACCCTGGATGTGTGATGTGGTCACTCCCTGGGGGACTGCTGTCAGGACAGAAATAAGGAGATTATGTTTAATCATTTGTGAAGGATCCACCTGCCACCATCATTTTTCACACCTCACCCCCAACATAATCGCCCCATTCTCCCTATCTCCCACCTTCCAACCCCCACTCTCCACCATGATTAAATCATGGCCCCATGATTTAATCCACCAGGCCCCACCTTTAACATTCCCCATTACAATTCCACATGAGTTTTGGTAGGGACACAGAGCTAAATTTTATTATTCTGTCCTTGGCCCAAATCTCATGTCCTTCTCACATTGCCAATGACAATGATACCTTCCCTACAATCCCCCAAAGTCTTACATCATTTCATCATTTATACAAATGTTCAAAGCTTAAAGTCTCATCCAACACAAGGCTGCAGACCCTTAGACTCATGAACCTCTGAAATATAAAGCAAGTTAACTACTTCCAAGGTACAATGCTTATACAGGCAATAGGTAAGCATTCCCAGCCAAAAGGAGTAATTTTGCCAGTAAGAACAAAACACAGAAAGGACTTACAGGCCCCATGAAACTCCAAACCCGGAAGACCAGTCATTCAATCCTACAACTCCAAAATTATCCTTTTTGAAACCTTGTCCCACATCCAGGGCACACGGATGTAAGGGCTGGGCTCCCAAGGCCTTGGGCAGCTCTGCACCTGTGGCTTTGCAGGGTTTATGCCCCAGGGCTGCCTTCATGGGCTGGGCTGGTGTTGAGTGCGTGTAGCTTTTCCCCACTGACAGTACAAGTTGTTGTGGGGTCTATGAATCTGGGGTCTGCATGATGGTGGCCTCCAGTGTGGGGGCTCCAACTCCGTATTTTCCTTCTGCACTGCCCTGGTAGAGGTTTCTTATGAGGTGCTGCCTTTTTGGAAGGCTTTTGCCTGGACACCCACACATTTCCATGCATCCTCCAAAATCTATACAGAGGCTCCCGAGCCTCTAGTCTCATGCTCCATGCAACCAGTGGCTTAACACTATGAGGAAGTTCATGACAACTCACTATCACGAGGTCAGCATCAAGAAGATGGTGCTTAATCACTGGTGAAGAATCCACCCCCCAACCCACCTCCACCCCCTACTGTTTCCAGGCAGAAGCCTGAGGCAGAGGCAGAGCCTCTTGGAAAACCTGTACCATGCCAGTGCAGAAGAAAATCATGGGCTTGGAACCCCTATGCAGGAGGCCACCATCCTCCAAACCCCAGGTTCATAGCCCCACCAACAGCTCGCTCCTTCAGTATGGAAAAGCTACTGGCACTCAACATCAGCCCAGCTCATGAGAGCAGCCGTGGGGCTACACCCTGCAAAGCCACAGGTGCACTGTCCTAGTAGAGGTTTTCCACCAGCCTCTGCCTCTGCAGCAGGCTACTCCTCCTTCCTACTACCCCCACCCTCCCACCACACTACAGCCAGCTTACTCCTCACCACCCTACCCACCCGTTTTCCCTCCAACCCCACCCCCCTCCCATCCATGATAAAATCACCTCCCACCAGGCTCCACCTCCAACATTCGGGATTGCAATTCCACATGAGTTTTTCTAGGGAAATATAGCCAAACCATATTATTCTGCCCTTGACCCCCTCCCCCTGAATCTCATGTCACTCTCACAGTAAAATACAGTCATGCCTCTTCAAATGTTTCCAAAAGCCTTAACTCATTCCAGCATTAACTCAAATGTAAAAAGTTCAAAGTCTTATCTGATACAAGGTTACAGTCTCTTCTGCCTATGAGTCCCTGAATTTCAAATGGAGTTCTTTTAAGGTACAATGATGGTACAGACATTGTGTAAGCTTTCTCAATCCAAAGGGAAGAAATTTCCCAGAAAAATAATACAAATGGGACCACAGGCCCAATGCACATCCAAAACCCAGCAGGCCAGTATTCATTGAATCTCAAAGCCCCTAAATCATGAAGCAAACTATCAGAAGGACAGCATTAAAAAGATGGTGTTTAACCATTTGTGAAGGATCTGCCTCCCACCCCTGCCTTTCCCCCGAACCCCACCACAATCCCTGCAATGCTCCTCACTACCCCCACCTTCCAACCTCCACTGTCCACTGTGATTGAATCACCATCCACCAGTCCCCACATTTAACTTTTCCCGTTACAATTGCACAGGAGTTTTGGTAGGGACACAGAGCCAAATCATATTATTCTGTCCCTGGTCTCCCAAATCTCCTATCTTTCTCACACTGCAAAATACAATGATGCCTTCCCTACAGTCCCCCAAATCTTAAATAATTCCAGCATTTACTCAAATGTCCAAACCCCAAAGTCTCATCTGAGACAAGGCTACAGTCCTTTCTTCCCCTGAGTTTCTGAATTATAAAGCAAGTTAACTACTTCCAAGGTACAATGATTGTACAGCCAACGGGTAAACATTCCAGGCAACAGAAAAAAGAAATTGCCAGAAAGAAAAACAAAACACAGATGGGACTCACAGGATACATGAACATCCATTACCCAGGAGGCCAGTCACTCAATCTGACAGCTCCAAAATCATCCTTTTTGAATCTTTGTTCCACATCTGGGGCACAAGGGCGTGGGGGCTGGGCTCCCAAGGCCTTGGGCAGATCTGCGCCTGTGGCTTTGCAGCGTTCAGCACCCAAGGCTGCCTCTCATGGACAGGGCTGATGTTGAGTGCCTGTGGCTTTTCCACACTCAGGGTGCAAGCTGTTGGTGGGTCTATGAATCTGGGGTTTGGAGAATGCAGCCTCCCTGTGTGGGGGCTTCAACCCTCTATGTCCCTTCTTTGCTGCCCTAGTAGAGGTTTTCCATGAGGCTCTGGCTCTTGGAAAGGCTCCTGCCTGCACACCCAGGTTTTTCTGTACATCCTCTGGAGTCTAGACGGAGGCTCCGAGCCTCTGGTCTCTTGCTCTGTGCACCGAATGGCTTAACACTATGTGGAAGCCATCAAGGCTTGGAGCCACCTCTGAAGCAGTGACCCAAGCTCTATCTGTGCATCCTTCAGTCATGGCTGGAGCTCGAGCTGCAGGGATGAAGGCAGCAGTGTCCTGAGGATGCACACAGAAGCGGGGCCATGCAGCTGGCCCAGGAAACCAATCATCTCTGCTAGGCCCCAGGACCTGTGACAGCAAGGGCCACTGCAAAGGTCTCTGAAATGCCTTCAAGGCCTTTTACCCTTTGTCTTGGCTGCTTGCACTAAGCTCCTTTTTATGCAAATACCCTGAGCCTTCTTGAATTTTCCCCATTAGCTATTTTCTATTTTATTAGCTATTAGCTGTTAGCTATCCTATTT